TCTATACTGTGGCTAAGTGGGACGGGACGACCGCTCTCACTAAGAAATTATGTTGCTTATGCCTCCTTTGTGGATGCAGGTAAAGAGATTTCCAGTGATGAGAATGTTAACCGCGGTGACTAAGGCTCGAAAAGGAAGGATGGTGGATTGAATCGGGTAGCTAATTCTTTTGCAATGTAATAGCTTATTAGTGAACTGATCATTGTAATTGAAACCTTGCGATTTAATCTAAGTATGAAGTTTATGCTTGAAAAGTCTTGTCTAGATCAAAAACATGTTAAAAATGGCTAAATAAAAGAAAATGTTAAAAAACCCACGAGGTTAACCTGAAATGGCCAAGTCTGACCGAGATAAACTGATCCGGAACCTCACCGCAGTAAGGGAATCCGGGTCGGGGCGTTTCATACGGCTCTGGTCATCATATAAACCTTTTCTAAAATTTGTATATTATAAGTTCTGATTTACTTTATCTGCACGGATTTAAAAAAAAAAAAAACTAATATGAAACGAATGCTGATCTCTATCTTATGTACTAAATGTGAAATCAATTCACTTACAACCATATACTTTCTTACGTTATACTACATAACATTGATTTATAATGGACATTAGTGAACGTTTTAGGTAACGAACACCGTAATTATTCCCGCAAACGATAACTTTACACAATGGCCAACCAACCAAACATGCATTGTATACGGTTTATTTTATTCATACTCTTCTACATAGTTTAGTCATGGTCCAGTTACAAGTTAATTTAACCGGTAGTAGGGACTTTGACGACGATGCGGGTTTTATCAACCCAAACCCTGACCCGGTCACACCTGAAGTCTAGAGTCACCGGAGTTCCGTCCAAAATCACGACAGCATTGATCTCCGAGTTTTCTGACTCTATGACCGAAGCTGCATAGTCTCCATTTGTTCGGACAAGCTCCGGCCATGAGTTCTTCTCTGCACGTTGTCAACGCAACCACATGGTCCAGGTCCACATTAGATCAGTTAGTCCTTTTTATTTGCCATTTTCGAGATCAATAAGGCCGTCACTCGCTTTCCGTGGAATAAAAAACAAAAATATCCATTATTTTGACACTTACAATTTGATGTCGTTTACATACATGTGATTATGTGAATGCTGATTTGATTTTTCTTTTCTTTTGATGTCTCTGTTTATATGTTATTCGATGATTTTTGATGATCTATATAAATTGATTAAATTTCTACAAAAGACAATAAACGCTTTGAGATATATATATATTTCTTATTTAAATCCACCCAATGTTATAAATTATAACATATTTCATTCAAATTATATGCAATTTTTGTCTAAATGTACAAACTAAAAATACTTGACAAAAAAAAAAAGTTGTGTACAAGAATGGTTTTGGAAAAACCTTTAAACAAAAATATACGAGTATATATTTTTTATGATTTTATTTGAACGGGCAAGTGATGAAGAAGAAGAAAGAAAATCAATAGTAAATCAACAATACTTAATTACGTTGAGCAAAAAAAAAAAACTTAATTATGAACAATTCTATATAAAAGAAAAACTTACCAGGACATCCGGACGACATTTTTCTTCACCTGTTATTATTTATGTAGTTCTGATGTATTAATTGCTATGCTCGTCTTTTAGGAAGTTGTGTCCAATTTATAGAATCGGATACGTCGATATCGATGTCGGTGAGCTTGCAGATTCAAAGTCAAACTTTGAAAAACTCCATTATCTTGACTTTTATAATTTGATGGATAAGCTTTGAAGCTTAGAAATTATAATAATCCATATTCAAACTTTGATGGAACTTATAACATTTTCATGGTTCTTGATTAAGAGAACGTAATTTAATTAATTATCAGGAATGATATTCTTACGAGTTATTTTTGTTTGAAATTTTCTTCTAACTATATAAAGAACAAGATAAAGTTTCAATTGCGAATGTAGTGTTGAAAGAAAATGAAGGTGAAGACAATATTCCGAAGGTTGATTATTGGATTCTGTTTACATGTTACATTTTTCTAATAAGAAGAATTTTGACATAAGAAACACGT